TCCGGCCGAGACCGACATCGGCTTGCTCGGCGAACGGGACTCGCCGGAGGCGAGGCTGGCCACAGGCCTTGTTTGCAGACAGACTCCGGCCGGTTGGCTTGGCGACAACAGCAACTGGGTCTGATCCTGCGCGTCCGTGTCCGCCTGCCTGCGAGGGTTGGAGAGGAGGCCTATGGGCCCGGGCTTCACGAAGGAGTGGTCGCGGTTGCGGAACGAGTTTGCTTTACGTTTGGCCAGATTGCGCTGTTTTATCTCCTTCCGGTCACTGGCGCCGCAAGAGGGGTTGAATTAAATTTGACATTTTGGTACCAAGTGAGCATAGAAAGTGGAGAAAAATTACATCATACATAATGTTTCGGTCAATTTAAAGATGATAATTGTTCTAGGCCAACAGTGATGAAGAAAGCAATTGAACTTGCCCACAACCACTTGAGTAGATCTCACGACTTGATTGAATTTCACACAAAAGCCTTGCTTACCAAAGAGCTATTCTCATCCCGAATGGACTGGACTGAAAGTTTGATCTACTTCAATTCATAGTAAGTTACATTCGAGACAAGCGAGACATCTTGAAACAGGTGATTAAGGACTGATAATTGAATTTTTCCACACAGCCTTGCTCCGCAAAAGTCATTCCCATCTCGACTGGACTGGACGGTAGGTTCGACCCCACTTGAACCCCCAGCAGAATTCGTGGTTTACGAGTCGGGTTCCGCTTAGGGTGCTTTGAGACCAGTTCAAATGAGGTCGAAACTGCCTTCCAGTTCGGTCCATGTGGAAGGAAAATAGCTTATATGAAACAAAACGATGTGGATCATAAAGCCTGTCCATCTGATTGTGCGAAAATTCAACTAACGCTCCTTTATCACCTTAACATGAATAGACTGACACGAAGATTAACTGGGTTTCAATTAATCACATGAGATAACATTGTTGGGGCGAATCCTATTTCGTATGAAAGTGCATGAAGAAGCTATTCGAACATCTTTCTCAGCAGAATAGAGCAGGTGAATTCCGATGAATTGCAGCCGCTTGGCTTTGATTCGACGTCCAGATTG